ACTTACCCACAGGTACCAAAAAATGAGGTTGTATCATATGTACAGTTAAAACCTTGATGCATATATATTGCACTTTTTGTGGTACCCAAAGCCCTGACAAGTGGGCATGTGGCGTTCTTAAGCATTTTGGAAGGCATGACCACTAACCTTACTCCCTGCTCCTCAAATAAGGACTTCGCAAAACTGTGAAGCATTGATCTCCCTGGCTTGGTTCATTTGGAGCAAAGAGAAAGTGTTCAAAGCCAGGATTTTATCTGCATCTGAATGTGCTGCAGTGGCGAGCAACTCGAGTAATTTGTGCCCTTAATTTCTGTAATAATCCATTGTGCACCATTCGCTTTGGATAAGTCCCAGGCCAATGTTAGAGCCACTCTGGCCGATGGATTACCGTAAATCAAGCCAGGCCTCCAATCCATCTTTCCACTTCCTCTGCTTGATGCTTTGTTGTTTTCATTCGGGCAGATGGCTGCATTTAAAGCTTAGCGTCCCGCTTCCTGTGCCACACACATTCTCCCCAGCCCGTACACACCCCAGGGCTCTTAATGCAATAGTGTGATGCCTAAGCCAACTTGAATGTCTCAGTGCGGTGCTGAAGAATTTAGAAACCAGATGGCATGGATCAAGCCTCCACGTTTTTGTGACTGTGGTAGATGCACCACCTGACCAAACACTGTCCCTCTAGGAGCCTGTTTTAACAGTAGTGGCGTAGCGTGAGGGGTGCAGGGGGGGCCGGCCGCACCGGGCGCAACATCGGGGGGGGGGCGCTCGCACTAACTAATCTAGTGGAAGAGACTCGAGTGCTAAAATCCACGGTTAGGGGGCGCAAATTACTTGCCTTGCCCCGGGTGCTGACAACCCACGCTACGCCACTGTTTAATAGCAGGGGTGAAGCTGAAGCAGGAGAGATGCAGACAACTACATTTGCACGCTGAAAAGAATTACCAAGACCTCAGCATCCTCTGTAGCAGGAGTGAAAAACCTGTGCTCTTCCTGCTGCTGTTGGGCTCTGACTCTCATCCACTCCTGACTGTTTTCCTTGCTGATGGGTTGATGTCCATTAACACCCCAGTGGGTCACAGGTTCTCTATAGATAAACTGGCAGCTCTGTGCAATGCGCTATGAAGACTCTGGAAAATGTGATGTACTCCTTTTGTCCCCTGCCACCCCCCAAGCAGGAAACTGCACTGATGTGGAGGGGAGAAACCAGTCCTTCCCCTCAGCACATTCAGAGAGGCCTCCTTTGTGTCAGGAGTTCAGCCTACACTCGAGTAGGACCCTGGCAGAGACACATGACTGACTGGCATGTTCCCTCCATCTTGGTCGATCGTTTGGGAGCTTCATAAGCTTTCTTCAGCCCAAACATCACAGTGACCAATGCCTACAGACACCGGCACACTTAAGGATCTGCAAAGTTTGTGCATCATGCATTTTTGCTAATCTACTTTATTTACATATAAACACACACACAGCACTGCAACATGGCTCCCTCTCTCTCTCTCTCTCTCTCTCTAGCATCAGACAGCAAAGAGAAAAAAAGAACAAAGGACAATAGTCCCACTTCATGGAACACAGTAACACAAACATCCTGTCTCCATCACTTCCCACTCTGTGAAGTCAAAACAGATACCATCATGTGATAAACAAAAATCCCATGACTGCAATCATAGATCAGGAATTCTAACACTTCATACCCACAGACTGTTGGGACTAGGAGGTATTGATTGATTGATTGATTGATTGATTGATTGATTAATTAATTAATTAATTAATTATGTTCACATCCCACCACTTTCTCCCAGGAGCTAAAAGTGGCTCTCCATGGTTTTCCTCTTCTTCCTCATTTCATCCCCATGACAACCCTGTGAAGTAGGCTAGGCCTGAGAGGCAGGGGCTGTCCCAAGGTGAGGGCAAGGGACTATTATTTCATCCCTTTACTGGCTCACGTGTGTGGCTTAACAGACAAAAGGATCAGCTTACCGCTTGTGTTTAAAAGCACAGGGCTTAGCAGAGTTTTAATCCCATTTTACACTGTTTAATTGAAGGCATAGGAATTAGCTGTTAGGCATATCTTCCCCTTTGTTACTCCATTTTTCAAGGAAGCAGGCTACAGACTGAAAAGTAAGTTTAAAACATATAGTTTACTTACAGTCAAGCCTTTGTCCTCAGCAGCAACAGCCGTAAAAAACAAATGCAAGTAAAATATTTTTATTTACAACAAAAACAGCTTCAGGCATATGCCCAATGCTGGAGCAAGCGGGCAGACATCTATTTCCATGGTTGGTTCCACACAGCAACACGGACCATTACAAAAGTTCTTTTCCTCAGCAACTGCACTTTCCCCCCATGTAGTCATAGCTTCGTGACAAGCCAAGAAGCTAGGTATGCCCTTTGTGATAGAGGACTGCCTATGGACTACCCCTCACTCATTGAAAACCATAGCATTTCCAGTCCCCAGTGTAAGAACAAAATGATGGAGGCTGGGGAGGGGGGGCGAACATATAATGCTTGGATATGATACTTGAATTTTCTTTTGAGATAACATAAATATATATGGAACACAGAAAGTTGTGGGGAAGGATTTACCGAATTCATGTGGCTAGTTTGAAACTCTTGCTGGCTGAACTTCTGATAAATAGTTTGATACCTATCAAAACAGGTAGGCCTATGTGTGCTATTTTTATTCTCTTCTTTTGCCTAGAACAGTATCTTATTGGCTCTATTGACATTTCTTTCAAGAGGACCGATGGAGCATGAAGAGATGCTCTTGTCTAAAGAGCATGTTACATTCAGCTGTAACAGAAAAGGAAAACAAAGTGATTCCTCACGGACAGAGTTTCAAAGGCCTCTTGGGAGATTCTGGTTGCTGCCTCAAGCTGTAGCCCTTAAACTTTATTGCACGGCAGAATATTGTCCTGGTTTACGTTGTTGACTAGAAGTAGCCCATGTGGTATCCTCCAGATGTTGTTTAAGTTCTCTCAGCCCCAGCCAGCCTGCCCAGTGGAGAGGGATGCTAACAACATCTGGAGGGCACCAAGTTGGCTACCCTTGCATGGAACATGAAGCCACAAACCATAGTTTAGTAAATTAGCTTGTACAGGAAGTGCAAGCACTCCCTGTTTACCTCTCCATGGGAAAACAAACCACAGGGCACATGACTTAGTGATGTATCCTAATGGGTAGTTGTGGTTCTTGCTCCCTGGTGTATTCAGAGGTAGGTGGATGTGATGATTCGGCCCAAGATGGCTGCTGTGTAGCAGGCATTTGGGCTCTGCTGCTAAACTGCTGTTGAGACCTGGAAACAGCTGTCCTGATTTCTTAGGTCTGTTTCACACCATTTCCTTTATGCGTGAGCAGAGCCAAGCTGCATGCCTGTGGTTGTGTTGAGAAATGTTAGTATGATCAGGGGAGTCACTGTAGCCATATCCATGTGCTGGCTGCCTGCTTCACACATTGTTCTCCATGTAAGATGCATTCTGAATATGTATGCTTATATTTATGGAGGTGGGGAAGTAACTTGGGAACATTTTCTGGCACTTGCTGACCTAACCCTGAACAAATAATAATAATAATAAAAAATCTGTGATTTGGGGGGCTCAAATGTGAAAAGGCAGAAGGGACCCTTGTGCTGTTATTCTGCAAAGCACATTAATTGTTGATGGTGCAAGATAAATAATAAAGTGTGCGGTCCCTTGTAATCCACCAAGGTAATCCACCAAGGTCCCTTGTAATCCACCAAGGTAAATGCAGCCCACCAGCTATATTTGCGACTCACCAGGAACATGATAAATCTGTTTTTGCTGCCTGTCTGGGACTGCCAAAACAGGCAGGGTGTGCTTGCTGCCATGTACTTTACAGGGTACAGTTCACAAGAGAAGTACCTCATCTCTTACTTTATGTAGATAGCATTTTAGAAATACCAGCTACAAACAGAGGGATGATTCTGCTCTCGACAGCCTTTAACCCCATTACACCAGAATGCCTGTGATGCTCAGAGCAGTACTGGTTGCAAGTCGCTTCAGGTGGCCTTGAGCAAGATAAAGCAACTAATAAATTTTAACAACAACAACACTGGCATTTGAAACACCTGTTGGCATTGAGAAGAAGGCTCTGGAGAATATATTCCCCTGCCCCACAAACCAGCAAGAGGGCTCGGGTCAAAGGAAGTACTGGTGAATGGGTGGAAGAACTGGAAAATTGTAAAATGGAGTTGCCTTCATGAGAGACTGCTCTTTCCTCTCTTTCCTTTCCCACCTCCTGTACTTGCAAAGACAATATTTTTTTTTTTTTAAAAAAAGAATTAATAACATTTTTTAAAACTCCCATGATGGATAGCAAAGGGCAGGATGCACCCCTGCTTTGGTCAATGGAAGCAAAATGGAAGTGGGGCCCCAGGCAGCACTCATCAAAACATTGCCATGCATGTCAACACACCTGCCCACACAATGCACCTGAGGCTGCCACACCCAACATGTGACTTTTTATTGGATTGTCTTCTCTTATTAGATTAGGATAATCTGAATTTAATTTGGGGGGGGCAGGGGGAGTGAGGACCGCCACTTGCCTGAGTAGGACATCATGTGGACGCCACAATATATAATTTCAAAGCCCCAGCACTTATGGGTTCTCTGGGACCCCCTTTAAAAAAGAGATCTGGCCCAGCACTCTGTGCAATGCTGGACGACTGTGTCTGTGTGCTGTTTTAATTTCCTCCGGTGCCTCAGTGCGACACTAGGTCTTGTTCTTCCGGACAGATTATTGTACTCAACTCTGGCTAAGATTAAGCTGTGAGTGAACCTCCTTGGTGCCCAATCTCTGCCCCTCTCCTGCATAATACCACATTGTTAGGAGAGAGACTGCAGGCAATGGTCTTACGGGGCCAATTCAGGCTTGGTGTATTAATAATTTACTTCAAAGACTCCCCAGCATCATTCTTTCTATTTTAATAGCATCCTCTTGGATGCTGTTTGTAGCTCTGTAATGGGCTGAAGGGATCCATTGCACCAGCAAATAGGGCACTTGGCGCTGGGATGGGCAACCTCTTGTAGGTTTCATGCTGTTTAATAGCTCATTAGTTCTGCAAGGTAGCAATTTTCTCCTCTTCTTTTTTAATGCATGGGAGATGGAGAAACGAGTCAGGAAGCAGCTGATGGAAAACAGCCTTGCCTCCATCCACCTTTTGCTATTTACCTAGTTCCTTCATAATCACTCTACTTCTGCTTACAAGTGGGGAGCCTGACAAAGATCTGTGCCGAGTGAATTGTTGCCTCCAATAAGCTTTTTTAAAAAAGATTTTGGAGTATTCTTTGTTTAAAAATAGTGCCTCCCAAATGCCTCAAGCAGGTGCTTTTCTTGTTTTGTCCAAGAAGGTCCTTATTAACTCATCCCAGCCCTGTTCTTAAGTGAGCTTTCCAGTTTGACAGCTGTCATTCTGCACATTGGAAAATATCTACCGTGTGTGGCTCAAGAAGATTCTGAGGATACATTTTGATGGGTTCTTCAAGTTCTATTTTCTTTTAGATTGCAATGAGCAAATAATAGGTCATTTTTGTTGACCCACAGGAGATACACGTAGTGCTTAAATCTGGCTAGGAGCTTAAAAAAAAATGCTGAGATCTGAACCTCGTTTTCAGTGCCAGCCCTTATCTTGGGATGGATAAGGAAAGTGCATCTGAGCATGCACACTCCCCCCCCCAAACAGTTTTGTGTCAGGGCTTCCAGGTCAGTGCATCGAAACTGGAATGCAATCTAGTTTCTAGTTTTGGAAGCACATTTCTTCTCTCCATAACAAGCATTTTATGGCATGTAATGATATGCCTGGTTTTTCTTGTGTGCACATTTAATAGCTTCGGTACATGCTGTTGTTGTTGTTTAGTCGTTTAGTCGTGTCTGACTCTTCGTGACCCCATGGACCAGAGCACGCCAGGCACTCCTGTCTTCCACTGCCTCCCGCAGTTTGGTCAAACTCATGCTGGTAGCTTCAAGAACACTGTCCCACCATCTCGTCCCCTGTCGTCCCCTTCTCCGTGTGCCCTCAATCTTTCCCAACATCAGGGTCTTTTCTAGGGAGTCTACTCTTCTCATGAAGTGGCCAAAGTATTGGAGCCTCAGCTTCACGTTCTGTCCTTCCAGTGAGCACTCAGGGCTGATTTCCTTAAGAATGGATAGGTTTGATCTTCTTGCAGTCCATGGGACATAGAAGGCTTCAGTACATAGAAGGTTTCTACTCTGGGTGGCAAATTTCAAAGATGCAATACATCAGTAGTGAGCAACTCGCGACGCAGTCAGGCCTCTGACTTTTCCGTTGCAGTTCAAAAGGCAAGCCTCTGCTGAGACTTGGGGCTTATCCACACCGACCATTTGCCTCACTCTTTCCAGGCAGTGGTCTATGCTTTAATGTTCCATGTCCAAGCAAGGAGGTGTTTTGGGGTGTGTGTGTGATTTTTCTCCCTGTGAAAACCCACTTTTTAAAGCTGAATTGGAGCTGCTGTCGTAAATCTGTGTAAGCTTTCAAATTACAAAGAGCCCTTCTGCTTGATGCTTTTGTTTGTCTCTTAAACATGCACCCTCTTACGCATACAGTGGTACCTTGGTTCTCAAACTTAATCTGTTCCGGAAGTCTGTTCCAAAACCAAGGAACGCTTTCCCATGGAAAGTAATGCAAAATGGATTAAACCGTTCCAGACTTTTAAAAACAACCCCTAAAACAGCAATTTAACATTAATTTTACTATCTTACGAGACCATTGATCCATAAAATGAAAGCTATAAACAATATACTGACTATGAAGAAAAGAGTATTGTAGATTATAAAAAATTTCTTACTTGAACTGATGAGTCATTGTTTGGATGGGGGGCTTTTATCCATTTCCAGTCACACAATCAATCAATCAATCAATCAATCAGTAGCTGAACTGGGATCCACACAGTCACACAAAAAAATTAACAGAAAAAGCCTCAAAACAAAAAACGCAAAATAAATAGCAAAAACAAAAGCACCAGATATAAGCTCCAAATATCACCTCAGAACACTGCAATCGGAAACGGAAGGCTTGAATTACATGGGGGGGGGGGGCACAAATTAGCAGCGCAACAGGAAACACAGGGGGACTCAAAACGGAGCATGTTTGCCCAAATGTCCTGGTTAACACATCACCAATTACATGCCCTCTTAAACAATCCAGTAGTAAAATCAGCAGCAACTAGGCCCCTGACAACCTTTGAAAACCTCCTCCTAACAACAAAGGGACACGATAAAGGGATGGTATCTGCAATATACAAAATACTACTCCAAAATCCCACAAACTCCCAGACACAATCAAAAAACAATGGGAGGAAGACATAGGCTATGAGATTAACCCCACTCATTGGACCATAATGTGGTCTAACCCCCCCTTTAAATCCATATCAACAAAAAGAAAAGCACTCTGAAAATCACCTACAGGTGGTACCCAACACCAAGAAAACTAGCACTAATACGCCCAGGAACCTCACCAAAATGCTGGAGAGGGTGCACCTCCACAGGCACATACCTCCACATGTGGTGGGAGTGTCCCAAAATCCAACTATTCTGGACAACAGCCAAATGAGAAATGTGTAAAATAACCAAGCAAGTATTAGAAATCACCCCAGAATTGGCTCTACTAAACATCTTCTAAGACAACAATGCCCACTTGCACCACAAAGAACTCATAACCCACCTACTCTCAGCAACCAGAAACACCATAACCAGACCCTAGAGAGACCTGTCAGGAGTAAGCATGGACCAATGATACCAAATAGTACGGGAAACAGCCTTACTAGAAAATTTAACCAATAAACTGAAACTGACACGGGGACAAATAGAAAAAGACGCCTTCACCCCAGTATGGCTCCCCTTTATCACATACACAGCCCAACAAGACAATGACAAAAATCCACCAACAGCATACAAATCAATATGGCTAACCTGGTCCAAAACACCCACCCACCCCACTCACACATGAAAACAAAGACCACCACAGCCAGCCACAAATGAACAGCCACACCCTAGGCCAACCCCAACCTCTCTCACCACCGAAGGAACACAAGTGAACATCAGAGAACCTGCACAAGCAACACTGACACAAAACCCCACATATATTAAGTAAAATAGAAACATTGCCACCCGACCCCACTCATCGTTCCCCCCCTCCACCTCTTTGCCCCTTTTCTTCCTGATGTCTCAACAAATGAAACCGATTTGTAAAAAAAAAAAAAAAAAGTCACATGGGGGGAAAAATATGAGGGAGACGTAAATCAAGAAAATCTTTAATAAAAATACATTAAAAAACACAAAACGGAGCATGTTTGGCTTCTGAAAAAAAGTTCAAAAACCGGAACATCTATTTCCAGTTTTGCAGCGTTCCGGTTTCAAGTTATTCATGAACTAAGCTGTTTGAAAATCGAGGTACCACTGCACTGTTTAAAAAGTGATCACCTTACAGCATACAAACTAAAGGAGCAATTCAATCAGCTGTTTTCAAATGCTGCAAATTCACCTCTTCCCACGCAAAGCACACAAAAAAGTGAGACCTGAGAGCCGCTTCTCTGGACTCAGTACACCGACTCAAGTCCCTGCAGGCCCTGTGATCTATGGGCACAGCTCTGGTCTTGAGATCTTTCTCAGCAACTCAGGCATCAGTAAAGCATATTGATTGCCTGTTCTTATATACCAGCACAAAGCCACATTTTCTGGTACAGATGGAGCCTTGGGGAGATGGCTGCTTTTAATCACTGTGCATGCCCAATCAGCCCACGCAGTCCCCCACCTTGCAGCCATATACTGTAATGAAATGCCTGCGATCCTGGCACCTCCATCACCTCCAGAGACCGAGGAGGAAGACAAGAAAGCGTTCAGGCTGCTGGAAAACTTCTGCTCCACAAACTTAGTGAGAAATTGCTAAATGGTTTGATTTGAAAGCATCCCAGGTTTCTAAAAACACAGGTGAGCCTCCTTGCAGAGGCTTGTAAGGTGTTCACTCGGGGATGTTCGTGCAAGTACCTTGTAGACGCCCCTTACACATGCAACTGCCTGCCTTAACTGAACCACAAGAGTGCATCCCTCTGACCTGTTCCCTATATGCCAGTTGGTTTAAGGAGCCATTTGCAGGCATGTAGAGAGCTGGTTTGTTGAAGTGCAAAGCACTGTGTGAGCACTCAGTCACAGGTAAAAGCGGCAGCAGCAGTTCAGAATGGCAGCTCACAGCTTAAACAGGGGATAGGAGTTCAACTTAAAGCCAGCAGGAGAGGACTGCCCTGTATGATTGATCTCTCCCTCCCTCTTGCCCCCTTTTATCCAACCCTTCCTTCCAGGGAATAGAAGACAGCATTGAGGGCAGGAGGCGCCCCGCTTTAATGTCACAACAACCTTGCAAGGGAGTTTGAGCTGAAAAAGAGAGAGAGGCAATCGGAGGAGAGAAAGCATCAGAACTAAGCAGGGGTTCACATCCAGAACTCCCCAGTCCAGCTCTTCACTCAGTTCTTTAGGGTTCTATTGGTGCACTTACAGCACCTGGAAACAATCTGAAGCTATAAAACTGAGCTATTGTCCCAAGCACTTTAACTGAAACCCATGGCTTTCTGTTGTGGTGGTTCCTAGAATTGTAGAGTTGGAAGGGACCCCCAAGACTCATCTAGTCCAACCCCCTTCTTAAAGAAGCAGTGTTCTATTTAGGTTGAAAAGGAGCTGTACATTCTGCCACTCCTGAGTTGGGAATTGATAAATGCATGAAGGAAGCTGTCCTAGGACAGACAAGGAGAACCTTTACTACTACTACTATTAATTTGTGAATCTGCCTCCTGCTCCTGCACATTTGTCACTTATAATACAGTAGTTTACCTATTACTTCATATCATAAAACAAAGAAACCCAGAGGAAGCCTCGTGAGAAGCAGAATTCGAAAAATGAAATGTATTAATTCTTGCCTATGGCAGTCAGTATTAGTAGCCTTTAAACCTATGCTGTGAGATAGTGTATGATCTTTGCACTGTTTAAGTGCTACTCTACTTCATCCTTTAAACTTCCTTATCCTGCTGTTCAGATTTAGCCTCTTTCAGCCTCCATTCCTTACAATATAGCTAACCTCTCAAATGACTTCTGGTTTCCTCCCATCTGAAAGCTTGGTTTCAAGTTACAGGGAACCAGGGAAAGGGCCTTCTCGGTAGTGGCACCCGCCCTGTGGAACACCCTCCCACCAGATGTCAAAGAGAAAAACAACTACCAAACTTTTAGAAGACATCTGAAGGCAGCCCTGTTTAGGGAAGCTTTTAATGTTTAATAGGTTATTGTATTTTAGTGTTTTGTTGGAAGCCGCCCAGAGTGGCTGGGGAAACCCAGCCAGATGGGTGGGGTATAAATAATAAATTATTATTATTATTATTATTATTATTATTATTATTATTATTTCAGCAGCAATGCATCCTCTGACTCATTTTTTTTGCAGGGAGATTAGACAACGCTGGCTATTTAATGAGCTTCCTGGGACGTTAGATGACCTTGCATCACAGCAAGTGCTTTCCCATACTTTTCAATGCATTTCCCTGTCACTTTCCTGACTGCAAAAAGTCTGATCTTTTGGAGCAGCTGGTTTGTTGCCCAAGACCTCCCAATCTACCATAATTGCCCATTTGCTGGTGTGTGGTTGCATCTGTAAAGTGATCCTAGAGTTTTATGAAGCCAGGAAGGAGGCATCTATTTTATGTTCTGGGTCTCCAATATTTTGGCATTCCACTTTATATTTAGGGATGGTCCCTAAATGAAATCAGGTGAGAATCACACAGATCAGTCATACGTTTCCCACATCCCCTGAAAACTTGAAGGTTACAAAGTTACTTTAAAAGAATAAAATGACTCTATTTAAATAGCAAGCCTCATTATTTGAGGCAACCTTGTCATCATAACCATATTTTTTGTTGAGGATGTAATGCTCTTACCACTTTCTGTTTACTGTTTTCTTGATTCAGAAAGAGACTATTTTTAGGGCATAACTTGGGTACATGCAAAAAATTGCCCTGTGCCCATACCCTGCATGAAATCAACACTGTTTTACTAATTTAGATACAGAGCCTTTTCTAACTCAGGGCAGATAATGTAAAATATTCTAACAGTTAAGACAGCACTCACTATCTCCCAGCCAACATTGGGCTGCTAGGAATTACTGTCCAAAACATCTGGAATGCACCAGGAAGGAGAAGTCTGAGCTAAGGAGTTTCTGTCCCTAGAGGTTACTTGGGCTATGGAAGATTACAAGAGGGTGGGAGGAAAGCTCTGAAGTGGGGAGCTTCACTGGCAAAGGGAGCTGCTGCTTTTTAAAAATTAGGTCTGCCATCCTAGAATTGTAATCAGAAGGGACCCCAAGGGTCTTCTCATCCAACCCCCTGCAATGCAGGAATCTCAGCTAAAACATCCATGGCAGATAGCCATCCACAGTTTCTTGAGATTTGACGCAATTGGGTTGCTTGTGCGTAATCTTACAGAGTATTGGAGGTTTTGGATGGAGCAACCTATGTTGAGCTTTCCAAGAACGAGCCTATCCTCCCCCTTAGCTTTCGTGTTCCCCCTTCTTCCTCCAGCTTTGCTGCAAAGAGACCAGAAGTCCCTGCTTCTGTTTTATATCAACTGCAGTTTGCCACGAGCTGAACCAACTGAGGTTCATCTTAGCTATGATTCCTGGAAACAAGCCAACTTGAAACCATGGTTTACAAACTGTGCTTAAGATTAACCACAGTTTAGGATTTGAATGTAACAGGCGTGTCAAGGCACTTCAAAAGGCATTAGGGTGGGGGGGGGTCTTTGAACAGCTTGGAATCCAGGCACTCACAGGGTGCCTCTTCCAATACTGCCTGGCTTATGCCTGAGGAACTGCAGCGGGAGCCCACCTTGCAGCCCGTCATTGGTTATTATGGCTCATCTGGTGGTGTTGCAGGGCAGGGTTTTCTCCTGTCACAGCGGCATTTGACCTCCCCCCCATAGCTATCATTTCATCACCTGCTAAAAGCGTATCTGTTCATCCAGACCTTTGAGGATGAGTGATTGGCGTTGGGTCTCCGCTCTCTCATTTTCTATGGGTGTTAGTCAACTAAATTTTACACAGAGCAGGCCTACTGAAATTAGTGGCCCTAACTTAGTCACGTTCAGTTCAGAGCAGACTAGGTCTATTCTGAACAGTAGAGGAGGAATTCAGTACAGACATTTCTTGCTCTGTTCTACAGGTTCTCCTGACCCCCCAGGACAGGTTTTGGGGAGGGGGACACGGAGGGAGGAGGCGGGGAAGCCCCTTGCACTAGCTGCAGCCCTTCTACTGGTTTCTGTTAGCACACTGGGTTTGTTGGATCCTGCCCTTTGTCTTCAAAAAGGACAGCACTGAGAAATATAAGAGATTTCCTGCAGGAAAGCACCCTAAGGAAGGGTATGGGGTGTTTTTTGGGGGGGGCACTTTATTTGTTGTTACATTGGGGCTGGGTATTTAGAACAACCTAATAAACAAAAGGTCAGACTGGTCAAAAACCAGTTAAGTGGTACGGTTATGGCGTGGCCCTCTGATGATTCTTAATCTTGTACTTTTCACCCTTTTGATGAAGGCAGCAACTGCCCAATGGGACCAGAAAAAGCGCAATTCTATAAGTAGTTCCACAAATAAGCCATGGTGGTTGTTAGTACCTATTGTTGGTCCCTTCCTTTGATCAGCCTCCCTCATCCTGTCAGTGATTCATGATGGCAGATGAGCTGTATTAATAACCTGTCAGCCCACGCCTTTCCCTGCTCTGTCCTGTCACCTAGCTGCCAGCTACAGCTGCAGGTTGGCATTTGCATAATGCAAAGTAGTTTATTTGGACTGTCTCTCAAGCCTGTAGGTTTGTGTGAGTTGTGAGCCTGTGCCACAGCCAGGGAGCAACTTAGCTGGAGGGAAGGAGATGGGTGACTTCCGGCCCATTCCTTCCCTTCCTCCTCATGATCACCAATTCTGCAACAACAAAAAATCCAGCATTAGCAATGCTCCAGACGTTGGTGAGATTCACTTTTCTCTGTGACAGTTGTTGCGTTAGGAAAATGCGAAAGCATTTGTCAAAATAGCAAGAGCCCCTCCTTCCCCCTTGCTCTCTTTTGTGCATTTTCCCATGCCAGATCAGAGCCGTTGTTTCCCTGGTCTGATACTGTCTGGGGGAGAGGGAGAGTCGAGAGAGGAACAGGGTACCTTCCCATCACCGAATCAAGGGGACCACATACTCTCTTGTACTGGGATTCACATCCAAATGCACATCCCACTGAAAATGAGGCAGTACATCAACATGCAAATGTACTTCAGAGCATGACAGACTGTTGGATTGGTTGCCTTGGCAATGGAGATGTTTCTCCCCTTCCTGGCTGGCATCAGCCTCCTGGTACAAAACATGCATCCTGGCCCTTGTGGCTGGGGGGGGGGGGACTGTGGCCCTCCAGGTATTGTTGGAGTGGCTGGGGCTGATGGGAACTGGAGTCCCAAAATACTTGGTGAACCGGAGATCGCCCATCACTGTGTTAGATCCGACTCCTATGCAATACACTGGTACCTCGGTTTACAGACGCTTCAGGTTACAGACTCCGCTAACCCAGAAATATTACCTCGGGTTAAGAACTTTGCTTCAAGATGAGAACAGAAATTGCGCAGCAGCAGCACGGCAGCAGCGGGAGGCCCCATTAGCTAAAGTGGTGCTTCAGGTTAAGAACGGACCTCCGGAATAAATTAAGTTCTTAACCCGAGGTACTACTGTACTGTATATTAGGACCTAGGATTTCTCAATTTCTGCCATATTCCCCAGTGCTGCACATACTATCAGGAGCGGCCCATCCCATTGTACCACCTCCTGCCCCTTCCTTCCTTCCTCCCTTCCACCCCACCTCTTGCTGAAACTTAGTGAGAGGGGGGCATTCCACGAGGCCATGTTGCTTGTCTTCTCTGCCACAGGGTCTAGGAAGATGAGTGGCAACACCGAGCACTGGATCACACACATTTCACACAACGCTCCGTAGCCGCTGCGAGAAAATAAGAGGCTTGATTGCAGTTTCGTTTCAAGGACATGTTCCAGCTGAGCAAAAGAACTCAAGGAGATGCAGAGCACAACCTGAAGAGGGCGGCTGGCCTGGGGAGCACCCCAGGCTGAAGGGCCACACCAGAATTCCTGAGTCCGAGTGCCAGCTCAATCCTGGGACGATTTTGTCTCGCTTGTGTGCAGAATCCACGAAGCCCTCTTGACACTAACCCAGCTATCCAGACCCAGGAATTCCTTGCAGTGGTCCTGCTGGTAAAAGGAGAAGGAGGGCAGTGCGCTTTAGGATCAGCTAGGATTCTTTGCCAAGTGAGTCGGTGGGAATATAGCTGGCTGGGAAAGAGCAGGGGGAGGGGAGGGGAGAGAGTGAGTCAGCCGCTGACTGCTGGGAGCTTAGCAAGAGCCGCAGGGCCTGTTCAATAAATCATGGCAGCAAGATGTACCCTTGGAAGGCGATGGCATGACCTTTGTGGTGACAAGACAAACAGCAGCTCTGGCTTTACCTGTCAGGCCGCATCCACCTCAAGGGGACGGCATGCTTGGTTCTCAGAAAGAGGGTTTTCCGCTGCCAAGGCCACTGACCTCTCTTGTCCATCGTGGTCACAAAGGGCCACAGTTCCTTCCTCCTGGTCAGTCGCTAGAGCGCAGGAGGATGGAAAGCCAAAAAAGCAACAGTTCTGCACCTGGTGTTGTTATAAGACAGGGCTATTTGGGGGAGGGTTTGGTGTGTTTTTAAAAAAAAAGATGTTTCCTGTCATGGGGAAAGCAGCTCTGTATATGCTTCGAGACATGCTATCTCCCTAAAAAAGCCTCGTATGGTGTGCTTTGTACATGTGTGTTGTGCATGAATTTGTGTAATTTACCATACTTGGGTGTGCACGAAATTGTGGCCCTGCCCACTTTGGTTGGCTGTATGAAGGGATGGGGTTTATTGTGGGGGCAGCTGCACTACCACATCCCTGTGTGGCACACTGTGTGGGATACACAATGTGATGCCTTCCATATGTTGTTGGACTCTAGGTGTCATCATCCCTGGTAATTGGGAGTCCACAGAATCTACAGGGCACCGCACGGCCTACACTTGACACACACATACAGACCCAGCGACCCTGTTTTTTAACTTTAAAAAAATTCCCAGATTATGCAAGAGCCAGGCCTAGAATCAAGTTCTGCAGCTGGTGTACATTTGGAAAAATTCTGTTATTTAATTTGTATGCTATGAAAAGTGTACACAGTTGCACAATGTGTGTGTTTCTTGGAGACTTTGCCTTCAGAATGATAGCATTTCCGGTACGCCTTTTCAGTGCTGTGTTTACTTTTTTTTGTCAAGTAACTGGAAGAAAAATGATTTGAGTCTTAGCAAAACATGGGGCATGAATTTTGGGAAGGACCTTAGTTCAGTGTTGGAGCCCATGCTATGCATGCAAATGGTCCCAAGGTCAGTGACCAGCCTTTTGAGGTGGGACTGAGAAAGTGCCCTGTCTAGATCTCTTAGCTAGACAGACCAATAATATGATTTATTATAAAACAGCTTCCCAGACGGGGAAGAAGATGCATGAGGGGAGAGCAACAGAGTGGAGGACTTTTGAGAGGGACTTGTAGGTGTTCTGAGTACTGAAGTAAGTCTAGTGTCCCAATCAAGAAAGGTTAATAGTCCCACTCTATTCTGCCTTGCTCAGACTACACCTGAAGTCCTGTGTCCAGTTCTTGGCACCACTATTTAAGATGTCCTCATTGACAAGCGGGAATGTGTGCAGAGGAGGGGGGAGTTGGGTATGTGTAGCCTGGAGAAAAAGAGACTAAAAGGAGATATAGATCTTCAGATATCTCAAGGACTGTCACATGAAAGATGGAGCAAGCTTGTTTTCTTCTGCTCTGGAGGGTAGGACCCAAATCAATGACTTCAACTTGCAAGAAAGGAGATTCTGGCACAACATCAGGAAGAACTTTCTGACAGTAAGAGCTGTTTGACAGTGGAACAGAGTGGCAGACTCTCCTTCCTTTTTAAGCAGATGTTGGATGGTTATCTGCCATGGATGCTTTAGTTGGGATTCCTGCACGGCGGGGCGTTGGAATAGATGATCATTGGGGTCCCTTCCAATTCTACAATTCTGTGATTCTATTATTCTGTGACTCACTGAGCTGGCAGTCACTGCCAGTTCCATCCCTATATTAAGAGGTGCTTGAAATTGTTTGATGTGATTCTGATTGGCTCACGGAGATATCGGGCAGTTCCTGGTCGGGCTGTCAAGTAACAGCATTTTGCCATTCAACAGCAAGTGGCAGCCTTCTTAGGTGCAAGCAAGGCATGGCATTTGCGGGTCAGGAGCCACCCACATTGGAATTATCATTTGGGAATGCAAAGTGCCTTTATCAACCAGGGAAGCATGACACAAAATGCCTGCTATCTGATGCTTCTCTCTTGGGCTGCTTGGGTTGCTACTTGGAAAAACACAGCATATAAAAACATTCTCACCCAGAAATCATGGAGGAATTCTCTCTCCCACCTTATGTCTGGATTAGGCACGTGGTGCTTAAGCAGAATGAGATGCATATAGCTCAATGTTTAATAACAATTCTACCATCCCATATAATAATCCTACAGTAGGATCCTTATGGAGCCAAAATGTCACCATCTGTATATCATCCATAGGCTTGGAGAAACCTCAAAGTTTACAGAAACACACACACAGGCACAAATATTTACAGGGGGGGGGTCATTAAGGGAGGGGAAGCCCCCAAATAGCCCATTGAGGACTGAGCATGCTCAGCGGGCATGGAAATTTGACTGACAGCTCATTGCAGGGTGGGGGACTGAAGATCAGTGGAAAAGAATGAAGGTCTCCTGAGGGTGGGTGGGGGGATGAGGAAGAAACCTGGCTGGCTGACGGGAACTCTGAACAAGAGCATGCCATACTACAGTGTTTTAGTAGTAGTAGTAGTAGTAAATACAGACATAGGGAGGAATTCAACGTAGCGCTAAGCAGATTGCTCTGTCAGCACAAGCTTTTCTGTATTTCTTTGATGGAGTGATCTGCCCTGCTCTTCCCCTGTGCACTGTTCTGGGAGCCCTCCCCACCACCACCTGGGGCATTGGGCCAATTGGGGGAGAAAAGGAGGAGGGAAAGGCTTGTTGCACTAGCAGAAGCCCTAGTGCAGGCTGCCACTTGCAAAACTACAGTGGTACCTCAGGTTAAGTACTTAATTCGTTCCAGAGGTCCGTTCTTAACCTGAAACTGTTTGTAACCTTGAAGCACCACTTTAGCTAATGGGGCCTCCTGATTCTGCTGTGCCGCTGGAGCACAATTTTTGTTCTCATCCTGAAGCAAAGTTCTTAACCTGAAGCACTATTTCTGGGTTAGCGGAGTCTGTAACCTGAAGCGTATGTAACCCGAGATACCACTGTACTTAGCTGAATCCAGGCCACAAACTTAATGCTTATAAAAGCCCTGTTGCAGATGTGGGTCTGAGAACTGCAGCATGCCTTAGCTCTATTATATTTATTATTATTATTATTATTATTATTATTATTATTATTATTATTATTTATACCCCCGCCCAACTGGATGGGTTTCCCCAGCCACTCTGGGCGGCTTACAGCACATAGTGAGTTCATTATATTGAAGTGAGATACGAAGCAAGTCTTTCCTGGTTCGTGGCTCTGTCTGGTTCCTATGAGACTGGCTCTCAGTGACTTGGGGACGGGAATAGCCCACTAGCAGCACTGGGAGGTTGGGGAGCTGGTATGATCATGTGTCTTGTGTTTTTAGCATGAGCAGAAACAGAGTGCCATGTCAGTTCTGACACACTGTTCTGCAACTGCTAGATGCTGCCTCTTCTTTTGACTCAAATCTCCCATGATATTGTCAGCATTACTCTGGGCAGTGTATATCATGCTTACGTTCTCCCAAAACGGAACTATATTGGAACGGGGTGGGATACCTGTTGCCCCTACAGGTGTTGTGGAATACAGCTCCCATAATTGCTGGCCATTGGGCCAGGCTGACTGGGGCTGCTGGGAGTTCCCAGCAACACAACTTCACCTGACTTAAAGAATTTGCTGTCACAAGCTGTCATGCCAGCTTTTATACAGGATTAGTGAGATTTGCAGATGGTTAGGTCTATCAGCGGGTATTAGCCACGAAGCCTAAATGAAAGCTCCATTACTACAGAGGCAAGATACCTCTGGATAGCCAGATGCTGGGGTCTTGCTTGTAAGCTTCCTGGGACATATGGTTGTCACTGAACTAGCTAAGGCTTTGGTCCAGTCGAGCAGGGACTGCTCTTAACATTGTTGATATCTTTGATCAGTCTAGCTGTTTTTGGAATAGGCAGAGTATGAGAGGAAGCTGTTGTATTACATAAGCTTCCTCACCAGGCGGCCAATTCTTTAAAGAGCAAAACTGATTACAAATGCCACGATGGACGTGATACAAATAAGAAGAGGATGAATTGGTTTGTTGTACAGAAACGCATGCATTTTGTTTGGTGTTGAAACAGAGAGAGAGACCCTTTTTTTTAAAAAAAAAGAAGAGAACAAAAAAACCTATTCACAAAACAAGCTGCAATATTTGTTTCTCTTGAAAATCAGAATTCAAGCTGCACAAGTTTGTGAAGGTCTTAAGTGGGGGTTTTTATGTAGATGGCCTACGAGACTGAATGCACGATTTAGGCTTCTTCAGTTGGTGACTTTGCCATTCAGTTCAGATCAGTGATGCTCTGGCAGCGAAGCACAGCCTTCAAATTGTCAAAGAATAATAGAAACTAATTTTCCTGCAGACGCAACCTTCCCATGAAGGTGGCTCATTTGTGTTAGCTTTTATTCAGGGCCACTGAATAAGGGAGGCATGTTTTGGGCCCACGAGAATACTGGCCTGGACAATCCCCGGAGAAATGGATAAGAGCTGTCCAAGCGTACTACATACACAGCTCCTGTTCATCTTAATGTTGCGGTTACCAACGTGGGGCACCTGCCCCATAAGGGGGGGCCATTTGATATTTAAGGGGGGCAGTTCGAGAATGAGTTAGACCAAGTTAATGACCTTTTTGGCTTCTTCCACGTGAATAGTTCGCTTTTTGAATAATAAGAATTATATGTCGGGAGGGGGCATCAGCATAGCTGTCAATGTTTCCCTTTTTTAAAGGGAAATTCGCTTATTCCGAATAGGATTCCTCGCAAGAAAAGGGAAATGTTGACAGCTATGGGCATCAGGATTTTAGAGATGCTTAGGTGAGGCATGGTCAAAAAAAGGGTGGGAACCACTGTCTTAATGGAAGTAACTTCTATAGGGGAAACTTCCATTCAGGCTGCATCAATGTCCATGTGAAATTAGGGTTTTCCCACGCTCCCTCCCTCTGGCAATGGGTAAAATGTTTTCAGCTTTCCTGTGCTCCACATTATCTGAAGCCCAGATTCTGGACCATTCTGAATCCCTCTCCTCCTCTTGGTTTTGTAGCATCTTCAGCACATTATCAGCACATTCAGGGCAAAGCATTCTCGGAGAGCATCCATTGCTTCTTTAATATATGAGAGGCCGTCTGCTAATGCCAGCTCCTCTGCCATCGTGCCATCTAACCCACATGATAGAAGAAACCAGAAGAATACATTCTTCTATGCTGTTGGGAAAGGACATTGGGAATTAACTTTCTACGGCTATGATTCTGCCATGCACAACAGCGAACTCTGCGCCTTCTCTGCAACAGCTTTGCATTGTCAGGATTCTGCACGGGGACAAAGCTGCCTTGCTTGTGCTTTCTCATCAAGGAGCCTCTGCTGAAACAAAGCACATGGATTCCATGGAACCCTGCCCAGTCATGGGTTGGAGCGGTGGGGGGGGGGAATTATTTAATCGGCACTTTGTTAATCCTTTCAACTGCTTCCTATTACCCTTAGATTAGTGGCTGGAAAACAATGTGCATTCTTTTGGAATTGAGCAGATGTTTTGAAGCCTTGCAGTGGAAAAAATAAAATACAAGCAGGAAGCTGCAGGTTCTCAGGCAGTAGAACATGCCAGCAGCTCCCCCCCCCCCCAGACACATGAGCTTCTCAGAGCACCCCACCTCTTCAGTGGTTTGATGTTATTTACACAGTAGATGAGGGTGGCGCTGTGGGTTAAACCACAGAGCCTAGGACTTGCTGATCAGAAGGTCGGCGGTTTGAATCCCTGCAATGGGGTGAGCTCCCGTTGCTCGGTCCCTGCTCCTGCCAACCTAGCAGTTCGAAAGCACGTCAAAGTGCAAGTAGATAAATAGGTACTGCTCCGGCAGGAAGGTAAACGGCGTTTCTGTACACTGCTCTGGTTCGCCAGAAGTGGCTTAATCATGCTGGCCACATGACCCAGAAGCTGTACACCGGCTCCTTCAGCCAATAAAGCGAGATGAGCACTGCAACCCCAGAGTCGGCCACGACTGGACCTAATGGTCAGGGGTCCCTTTACCTTTACCTTTACACAGTGGCTTTATCTGGCCTTCAAGAAGAAAACAGGACACTTCAAGATTCGTAATTTGAATGGGCACCTTTGGGGCCTGTATCATAACCCTGGAAGGAGGAAGCCGCTGCCTGGACTGAGAGACAGAAAGGGAAGCTTATGTGTTCGCTTTGATGTTGAATAGAAGACAAGAGTACCCTCTACTGGCAGATGTTGTTACTTCTAGGGAGTCGGTTTCCAAACTTGATGTAGAATTCTTTCCCCAAAAGGGTGGAGGGGCATTTCCCAAAGGTTGTGACAGCGGGTAGGGGGCCCAACTAATCCCCCTTCTCTCAGCCCTTAGGAAAAGTTGCTGTTACTTCTCCATGTGTTTGGGTTCCATTCATTTTCTTCTTGCTGTTGCAGAAGGTTTCTTTAGAATAGCTCTGGTTTCTAGCTCTCCGCTTCTCTGCATTTTCTTTTCTTGTGTGCTTTGCAAATAATAATAATAATAATAATAATAAATTTTATTTATACCCCGCTCTCCCTGGCCAGAGCCTGGCTCAGGGCGGCTGACACCAGTAAAATTACAGTAAAAACATAATGGGGGGGGGGGACCCAATTTAAAATACAGGTTAAAATGCAATTTAAAATGCAGCCTCATTTTAAAAGTAGCCCATAGATATGCTTTATTCTGTTGTCTCCTTGGGGATTCTTGTGACCAAAAGGCAGCATATCCTTTCATATGTCTGACGGATCAATAGATTTGGTACAACTGCTTACACTCGTATCGATCAAAGATCACGTTACGTTCTTGGATCCTCACAGAGTTTAGAAGCTTTTAAGAGAAGTTAGTCAAAGTTATTGAAATAACTAGAACAAACATTTCAGTGTCTTAAGTCCTGCAGATTTGGGGATATGGAGGGGGCCTTATCATCTTTGGTTGTGAAGGGAAGAGAAGACGATACCACAAAACAAGTCATGCAAGGTTCTTCCTTCGTCCCTAAATCACTTTGGATGATGAGCCACATGGGAAGAAAAGCTTGTGCAGTGGTTAGAGAAGGATGGGCTGAGAGGCAAGATTTTTGAGTTCTCTGAGCCTCACTGCAGGGGAAGTTCTGTTGTTTTTTTAATTGGTTGGAGCTGAAAGGCTAGAGAATTGTTCTATTGGCATTTATTAAAGAAATATTAAGAGGTAGCATGACCTAGTGTTGACTAAGTGTTAGACTGAGCTCCCATTTATGCCTTGAAAATCACTTTAGGACACATCCCAGCTACCAAAACTTTCACAAAGTGAAGGTTTCACAAGCTCGAAAAGTCTCCATGCTCCTAGTGACTAAGCATAGGACTGGACTCTTGCACTTCGCCAAGTTACAAATTGATACAAATCCATGATGATAATATTGGATGCAGAGGATCAATGAGCTACTTCAGATAGAGTACATCCATTTGTGAATGATACCGGTAGTGCTTCAAGATTGAAATGTGGCTTATAAATACTGCAGGGCTCTTGACTGAATTAAAAAGAGCCATCTTGTATATTTTGAAACCTCACTCTGGGCTCAGACGTAGGACTGCCCCCCTCACGGCAAGTCTCAGTTAACTTCAACTGGAAAACAACTCAGCCTGTGCTCAGTGCCCATAGCCTGGCAGTGGGAATGTCTGAGACAGTGGCATTCTTAAAGCCTATATGCACATAAATCAGCAACACATGGTGGCATCTCTTACATGAGCCCGTCATGGGCATAGCCAGGATCTTTTGGGGGGGGGGGGTGTCAGGTTGGGGGGGGGCAGAACCGAGTTATCTGTGACCCAATTAGTCAGTTAGTTAAGTATTTTTATTTATTTACTTGAAAGGGAGGAGGCAGTCCAGGGACCCCGTCACATTTCTGGGGCTGGAAACACATGGCTGAATGATTTCATAGCAATACAGTGGTACCTCGGGTTACATACGCTTCAGGTTACATACGCTTCAGGTTACAGACTCTGTTAACCCAGAAATATTGCTTCAGGTTAAGAACTTTGCTTCAGGATGAGAACAGAAATTGTGCTCCGGCAGCGCTGCAGCAGCAGGAGGCCCCATTAGCTAAAGCGGTGCTTCAGGTTAAGAACAGTTTCAGGTTAAGTACAGACCTCCAGAACGAAGTAAGTACTTAACCTGAGGTACCACTGTATAGGAAGCTGCATTGCCCCAGCTTAGACTGTCTCAGAACTGGCAGGGGCTCTCCAGAGTCTCATAAAAAGGATTTTCCTCATCATCCTGCTTCCAGATCTTCTTAAACTGGAGACACTTAGATTAAACCTGGGACCTTTCGCAATGCTAGGCATACCACCTCAGTCACTGAGTGGTGGTCCCTTTCTGGCTGTGCTCTGTGCTGGCAAGTGGAGAGAGGGGAATCCACTGAGGCGCTCATGTCTGTAAACCAATAGTGCAAGAGAGGTAAATGGGAGCAGTCGCAGCTGCTCACCCCTGATATAGGTAAAGGTAAAGGTACCCTTGACCTTTAGGTCCAGTCGCGGACAACTCTGGGGTTGCGGCGCTCATCTTGCTTTAATGGCCGAGGGAGCAGGCGTACAGCTTCTGGGTCATGTGGCCAGCATGACTCAGCCGCTTCTGTCAAACTAGAGCAGCGCACGGAAACGGCGTTTACCTTCCCACCGGAGTGGTACCTATTTATCTACTTGCACTCTGACGTGCTTTTGAACTGCTAGGTTGGCAGGAGCAGGGACAGAGCAATGGGAGCTCACCCCGTTGCGGGGATTCGAACCGCTGACCTTCTGATCGGCAAGCCCAAGAGGCTCAGTGGTTTAGACCACAGCGCCACCTGCGTTCCTCACCCCTGAAATAAGAGATCCCAGTTGATAGATCTTCATGCATTATCACTAAAAGCACTTTCCCCAGTGGTTCCAGGGTGAGGCAGTCAGGAACATAGCTGTCAACTTTTCCCTTTTTTAAAGGGAAATTCCCTTATTCCGAATAGGATTCCTCGCAAGAAAAGGGGAAAGTTGACAGCTGTGGTCAGGAAGTACTGCCTCCTGGTTGACATAAGACTTTTTAGCAAGGGTTTCCTTTCAGGTCCCAGACCACCCCTAGTTTCTGGCATGGCTTATATCTGAGCTGCTGCTGCAGCAGCTGTTATTCTAACTGTTAACCAGCACAGGAGCCTCACTGGGGAAAGGAAGTAGTGCCCCTGGTTAGAAGTAAAAGAAGGGTGAACTGAGGTTTAGAGTGGAGTGAAAAGCACCGATTGGCCTCAATGTTCATGGGGAGAGCAGGGCCTGGGTTCACAATGCAGAAAGGGCGGTTGAATAGAGTCCTCAAGAGCTGCCTCTGGAAGCAGATTTAAAGAGCACCCTTAGACAAGTCCCTTCCCCTTCTGTCCCCAGAACTGTGGTTCTTAAGTGGTGGCAGCTTTGTTCTGTTCCAGTGACGCACTTTGAGGCTGCTGTGAGCGCAGTGACTCAACTCTTGGGTCCATGTGCTGGCTGCCACCTTCACCACTGTTGAGGAGTTTCAACAAAGGGGACTCTGCCCTCGTTGTCAGGAGGCCTGTTCTTAATTGTGTCGCCAGAAAGGCGGAATAAAGGGAAACAAAGGAGACACCTGTTTCTCATAAGCGTCTGTGAAGATGGTAATTGGAGGGAGCCAAGAGTATTAATTGCAGAGTACAGTGCATTGTTAGCTTGGCAGGAAACCTTCCCCTCGCTTTGTTGCAACACCCAAAATCAAATCCCTCTGCTGGATTTTGACAGGGGCCTTCTTTGTTCCTGGCTGAAGCAATCTCCATTTGTTTACCTCTGCCTCATCTCAGGTGCTGTCTTGGGGCCAAACACTTTGGCAGCACGCAGAATTATTTTACTAGCTCTTTGCAGGAGGGCGGGGGGGGGGGGAGTTGTGGATTCAAAGAAGACCCTCCCTGTGCATGACATGGTCAGGCACCACAAAGGAAAAGAGAAGAAATCTGAAAAATGCACACAGTCCAAACCCAAGGGGAGAGCTTATATCATGGCAGTAGATTACAAAAGAGGTTGAAACAAACACTTCGCTGCAAAATTCCAAGCAGAGATGGTTTCATACTAGGAGAGGAGTCAAGAGGGAGGGGAAGGAATGTCATTTGTGAGCACAGCAGCTAGGAATTTGGGTAGGTCATAGTCATTTTTGCCCTGCTGGTGTAGCACCCTGCTTGTGGTTAACGCTTAGCTGGAATGAAATATTCAACACAGCAATAGAGAAATTAAAATAATAATTTATTTGTCAGACAAATAAATGATAGGCACAGTGGTATATGGTTACCAAAGCTCTGCCCCCTCCAGCCCTGATGGCCAGCACTTATATTTCCTCAGCCCAGCCCCCTTGCTCCTCCTTTGGCTGCCTCTGTCCAATCAGCCTGGTTGAAATTCCTATTGGCTGTTTGCTAGAACCAATCATAAAAGATACACCCATTTCCTATTACCTTTTATGGGAGACAAAGAGCTATATTTCCTTCTATCCATAAATGGCAGACAAGTAGCCATATATCTTACATTTGCCTCGACAAGGCACCTTAATTACCAGATCACCTTTTGCCCCTGTTGCCCCTGCATTCCAAAACAAATGGCTAAAACAAATGGCTCATGGTATTAAATTCTATCTAAACAGAGATCTTGGGTTCACATTCTCACACACCATCAATGAAATAAGAATCTAACATAAGAATCTAACATTTCTTACTTTCTAAATCCTTTGCATAATTACATTAAGCCAACAAATCTCATACATAACATAGATAGCTTTTTAGAAGAAAAGGCCTTTGCAAAGTAAAAAGGAACTCAGTAAAAACAGCTTCAAAAGAAGCCTCTTCAGTTTACACCCCCCCCTTCCCAGCCAGCTGCTTTTCCCATTAGCTCTTCCCAAAATTTATTGCCCTTTAACTCTCTCAGTATACCTTAAACCTTAGGAAAATATGGCTAGAGTCTGATGGGAGGCACATGGTATTATTTTCTGTTAAACAATAAATCTTACTATTTACCAACTCTTAATTAGTGTTTTTGCAGCTTGATTGTATTCTGTAATATGTAGGGTCAGTGTAACATTTGCTCCCAGCCTGTAATTTCCTTTTACAACTTTGAGAAACTTGTCTCCTGCTACTGCTATAAATCAGGGGGGCCCTTGTTCAGGAGAGCAGGAAGATAAACAACTGCCAAAGTACTTAGCCAGCTGGTTTCTGCCTGGCATGAAACATACAAACATTTGCAAATATATCTTTAAGCTCATTTTAAAATACAGGCCTTGATCAGATGCCTCACTGGTAGTGTTTGGTGGTTGTTTCCAGAATCAGCCCAAGACATTTTGCTGCAGGAGGTGAAGGACAGGATGACTCCCCCATTTCATTTTAAAAAGTTGAATAGATAGGCAATATAATCATATTTTGATGCTGGTGGAAATACATTGCCCTCCAGAGGACAGATAGCCACCACTCCCTGCACCACCCCTGCCTAGCATCTGCCACCTGAGGCAGCTGCTTCACTCTGCCTAGTGGTAGGGCTGGCCATGGCTATATCTTATCTCAACATGGTGGTTGTCTGTTTTCTTCCAAGTGATTTCACAGCTTTCAGACACTGCTCATCTTCCATACTTAGCTTTGTCAACAGAGCTAAAGATGGTAGAACCGTCAAATCAGAACTTACTGCATATATGCGAATCTAATGCAACACTGAATCTAATGCACACCTCAGTTTGCAAAACCTTGAAACAAAAAAAGTATTTGCTGGTGAATGTAAATGCGCCATCAAATCTAATGCGCACCCTAATTTTCACGACGTAATTTGGCTGGAAAAGGTACGTATTACATTTGAGTAAATACAGTAAGTAGCTAGAGAATCTAGACAACAGATGTGTGTCTTGTATGCCTCAGCATCAACTTGTATTCAGGTGAGAGCAGATTTGCAGAGCCAACTGTTATGTATGCGATGGTCTGTGTTCATCTGAGCTTGAGTCTGGACTAGGATTCTGAGTCCTGTGTTCTGATTCGATACATGATATCCAATCATGTATTATTTCCAGTGTTTGGGCTACTGGCATTGGCTCTTAAGCTCTTGGAGGTTTAGACGGCCAGTCATGTTGAGAGTGGGAGTGGCTCAGGCCTTCAGAAATAGTTGCTTTGCCCCGGTTTGACTGTTCTGTTCTGTTAGCTCAATAAAGTCTCTTGCTGTAATCACAATGTCTTGCCTCATAGAAACCCAAGTACACTTTACTAGCAATGAAGGTGGGACGTCAGGATGGGTAGGCTAGACAGAGCTGAAACCACTATTGAGGGCGAGACCACTGCCTTGGTTCAATTCTGGCCGTTGCCAAGGTGCGCTCAGGGCAGAACGTTATGGCCGCACAGGGCCACATTGATGAATTTGACAGAACGGTCCCGGGAAAATGGGACTTACATGCTACCAAGCTAGAGTTCTGTGTCGCAGCCAATAAGGTCACCGACCCGGGGTTCATTCAAGGACATAATGGAGAAACTACAAGAACACTTTCCACTACAAGCATCAGAAATAGCCCACCAGCAAATGGATCAAGCTCCAACCAAATTAGTGGCGGCTTTCATTGTGGCTTTTGCCTTTGCCGTTTCCTTGATCTGGAGACTTTGCTCCATGGCTGGTTTGTGTGTGGCTTACGCGACAAGGAACTGCAATGGCGCCTTTTCACAAAGAAGGACCTGACCTTCCAAGCCACACTTAATGAGGCGTTGGCATCCTAGGGAGTTGGTATAAGCATCCAAGATGTTCAACAGTGACGGGCCAACCCTTTCATTTATGCGGATATAAGGGACATCTTCAGGTGGTATAGCTACTCAGTTGTTCACTAAGAAATAAATGTTTTGGTCAGTGCTTCCAAAGGCATCAGGGTGATTTTGTGGGAAATTGCAGTCAAACATAACTATGCATGAGTACTAGTTAGTTTATGAATGGGTTAAGACCATAGAGTTAAATTCCTAGGCTCAGGTCATGCCCCCTTTTTTCTGATGAGGGAGGAAGCAAAGCCTTCTCTTCCTGTTCCCTCTTTCTTCGTGCAATGTAACTGACCAAGGAAGATGTGCCCAAGTAAGCTCCAAGCTTAGAGCATGTGTTTGAAGCAATCTTTTTGTATTTTCTACCCAAGAGTATTCTTCCTGGGTTCTCCTTGCTGCTGCTTGGATAAATGCATGAACCCGACCTTTGAGACTTTTGTAAGTAAAGTATTTTAAACTTACTTAACAGTGTGTGGTCTGTTCATTGCAAGAGGGGTAGAAAGAGGGGTGCTGTACACAACCAAGTGGGATATGAAAAGGGTTTAATAACCAACATGCCCACACTATGCTGCTGCTTGACCTTTGTGAGTTAAAACTCTTCTACTGGGGACTCTCCCCTACTGAAGAGTGTTCTTTGAATCGAGGCACCCAGCCATTTTTGGGCGGTTGTTATTTACCCCACACATGTGGATCACAGGGATTCGTATTTTCCTCCCACAGATTTGGCAGATGTGCATTGGCACTTATTTATTACTAAAATTAAAAGTGGTTTCGTTAAGAGTTATTTAATAACACATATCACTTTAAATATACAAGATTGTCTCTAGCTCTATTGTTGTTTGCCATTTTGCATCACAGTGCTGCCATCACCACAACCCACACCCCACTAGCCCCAAAGACTGCTGGGCATTCAACAAATTTTCTGTCTGCAGGTCTTACTTATCCCCTTTGCTGGTTGCTTATTTTGAGACTTGCTTCAAGTTCCCAGGAACATTAAATTGCTGGATATTAGCCAGCCTTTACACATTCCTCCCGCCCTGCCCACCCCCCACCCCCCCCGCAGTTTCCTGCTATGACAGTAACTCATAGAGACAATCGTAATGAACAAGATTAGTCACAGATGATTTGACTACATACAAGGCTCTTAGGTCATTGATTTCTTCTCTCCTTTAAAAGCCCTTTCCTTGACAGATGAATTACTTCTGGACCTCCTGGGAGCATGTTATAATAGTGATGTGGGCAGTTGTATCTTTATTTGCCCTCAAACAGCCATTATCACTTGAGCAATCCTGCTCTCTAAGTACTCATTAAGAATTACATACTTCAGTTTTCTGTGTTAAAAAGGAGAGATGCTCCAGGACCGAAGAGGTGGGCGGTGGCAGGCCAACTGACCACAGCCTGGTCTGATTTGTGCCTTTAGCAAAAGCTTGATGCAGGTCCCAAGTTCTTCATGGGAATAAATACAGTCACCTCCTAATGCAACCTCTGCCAACCTGGTGCCCTCCATATATTTTGGGCTGCCACTCGCTCCATCCAGCATAGCCGGCACCAGGATGTCAAAGGCTGTTCTAATGCATACGTTTCTGTATTTAGAAATGAGAAAAGGGACGCTCTTGGTACACTTCACCATGACTTTCATTTTGGCACCAAGTAAAAAACTCTCATTTTGCCCGGGCATTCATAGACTAGTAGTGGTCTGCTTTGTGCCTGTTAAGCATCAGTTATTTTTAAGTATATGTAGTTTTAATTATGGTTGTTCTTCCACTTAACAGAAGTCTGGTTTGTGGTGGTTTGAATGTGATCGATATGTTTTTGGGATCTGTAATGATGTTGTATCCCACCCTGAGATGAGTTCTGCTGAAATTAGGAAATACATATTAAAAATAAATAAAACAATACTTGCTATACTTACCAAGGATCAATGCCTGAGGGACCCCTGTTCCTCACCATCTGGAGTAAATGAAAGTTCAGGTTTGTGAGTTGACAGTGCAGACAGGAGTGATGAACTTACATCTGGAATTAACGCTTGTTGTTTGAAACTGTAGGCGCACTAACCCGCGGGGTCACGGTTTCGCCAAATACTCAACGTCCGATTCACTCACAAAGGGTGCCAAACACCTGCAAATTGGTCCCTACAACATTTGGCGGTGCAAACCCCACATTTCACGATAGATGATAAAATGTGTCCTTGGTGCCCTAACCTGCGGACACCCTTTAGATATTTGAAGAGGACAGTCATATCTCCTCTCAGTATTCTCTTCTCCAGGCTAAACATACCCAGCTCCCTTAACTGTTTCTCATAAGACAGACCCTTGATCATCTTGCTTGCCCTCTTCTGCAAACAGCTTGCAAATACACTTCTTAAATTGTGGTGCCCAGAACTGGACTTGGTGATTCCAGGTGTTCTGACCAAGGCAGAATAGTGTGGTACTGTCTCCAGACTGAGGTTGGGAGACAGTGGCTTGCCTAAGGAGATAGGACTTGGATCAGGCTCGTAGAAAAGGGTGTTCACACAAGCACACCATGCACATTGAGGAGTGGAGTCACATCTGTCAGCCTGCATGAGAAAGGCTTCGATTTGCATGCAATCCTGTGGGATGTGGTGCCCTGTGGGCTGCCTGAAATACTACCCTTCTTGATGCAGGAGATTCTGGAGGATTTGAAGACTGTACAGAAAACAAAGAGACTGAGGACAGTATGGAGAGGAGGAAAGTGAGAAGTATGGAGTGGGGGGGGGAGTAGTGGCTGCCTTCACCCACACAGCTGCACATATCCAACAGCCAACCCCATTTCCAGGGAGTGTGACAGAGCTGGAAGCCTACACTTGCATCCTCAAACTGTGTAGCTAGAGAGAAACTGTGAACCAGTTTCAGGTGTTTTGCCTGCCTCTTTAAAGGAAGCATGTGGGCCAGAGGCAACTGCACAGTGGGTTAGGGAAGCTGGTGCGTTCCTCCCCTACCTCACAACCATTCCACCCCAGGTGCCATAATTCCCCCCATAACAAGGGCCGTTGGTGCCCACTTGGGCCCCACACCGTGGGTGCCCACTGCGTGGGTGCCGCGTTGTGCCATGCTCCAGCGCCGCCACAGCATCTGGACCAGGGTCTGAGCCTCTGCCTAAGCACAAGGGGTAAGGCGGTGGTAGGGGGGCAAAGCTCGGGCGGCAGTAGCGCTCACTGGCAGGGGGCAACTGCCAGGTGGCAGTGGTGTTTGGCAGTGGCAGCGGCAGGTTGTGGAGCTGGGGGCCAGGCACCCACAACAAAAATTTGTGAGAGTCCAGGCGCCCAGGGCCCCCTGGAGTGGGCACCAGTGACAAGGGCTGCTGGTAGTGCACGTGGGATTACATTTGCACTTGGATGCCCTGTTTCAGGCTGCTCTATATGTTTGGGTGAGGCTCTTGGTTTAACAGTAAGTTTACCCACACACCCGATTTTTAAATTTCATTACTCCCCCCCCCCCGATTTTGAATTTCCCTCCCCCAATATGGCACCCAGCTGGTTGACCAGGGCAGGTGTGAGAAACTCTGTCCGCACCTTAGCTTCTTGTAACATATGGAAACCGTCCCTGTTAGTATTTTCCCTCACTGGAGATCTGACCTGTTTGGATCTCAGTGGTTAGGAGCGCACGCCTGTGTGTCCTTCCCACTCCTCCCTTTCTTCAGTCTCCAATCTCCCCCCCCCCCCATGCACATCTTTTCAGAATCTCATGAGCAAAAAACTCTGGGTAGCTCCTCGGACTGCGCTCCAGGCATTCCTCAGAGAGCTCCATGTACAGTTATATGTGTAGGTTGTCTCGCACGTGGATGCCCTCACATGTCTTGTGAGCCCACGACTCTGAGCTGGTCGGATCAGGAGAGAAGCAATCCCCGTCTGCTCAGCCAGACGCATTCAGGTTCACCAGTCAGAATGCACCAGTCAAGGCAAAGCTGACACATTTCTTCCACTGTTTACGAAATGGGTGTAATTTCAGAGCCTGTTGCTCGGACAGCACTTTTGGCTCTGCCTTTTTTCAATTTCAGCAGGTGCCTGTTGGTGTAGTGATTTATTTGCTCCAGCAGGTGGCAGCACAGTCTCACTGCAAAGTCACATTCTATGGCACTTTGTCAGCTGTGCTGAAATATTTTTTGATTGCGTATGAAAATCTCTCTTTCTGTTTCTTTAATTGAACGCGGTGTGCTCCACTGCGCTTTTACTTTCTGCTCAATAGCCACATCAAAAGTAAGAGTCCCGTCTCCCAAGCATTAGCCTACTAACTCCTGGATAGAGATGTTAAAATGTAGCCAAAAAATTTGCAAATGAAACATTTTGGACATACAGATGCAGCGATGGTTAAAGCCTCACCTGCTGAATTTCTGCCTGTCAAGCAGCAGTTAAAGGCACAGGAGCCTTCCCTGTAAAATTTTTTAGCAGGCTCAGGCTGCAGGTGAATACAGAAATTTTAGTTATGAGCTTCCTGCCCTCTCCCATACTATGGCTTGTATGGGCCTTGTTTGCTATTAAATTCCTCACTCACTTTGCATTTGTTGTTTACCGATCTAGACCAAGGCGAGTTTTTCATTCATTTTTTTCTGAATGGCTCAGAATAGAAATAAATATTTTGTTTTGGGATGTCAGGAGGAACAAAAAGGTTTTTTTAGAAATTATTTCTAAAAAACTTTTTATAGAAGCAAAATGAGAGCAGATAGGCCCAGTCACTTCCTTAATATATTGGTACTGTTTTACTTCATTCATGTGACCAAGGCATGGGCATCAAGCAAGCTTTGCAGCCCAGAAGTACACAGTTGTTGTTAGGTTAAAGGTAAAGGGACCCCAGTCAGTTAAGTCCAGTCGCGAACGACTCTGGGGTTGCGGCGCTCATCTCACTTTACTGGCTGAGGGAGCCGGCATTTGTCTGCAGGCAGCTTCTGGATCATGTGGCCAGCATGACTAAGCTGCTTCTGGTGAACCAGAGCAGCGCACGGAAACACCTTTTACCTTCCCGCCAGAGCAGTACCTATTTATCTACTTGCACTTTGACGTGCTTTCAAACTGCTAGGTTCGCGGGGATTCGAACCGCCGACCTTCTGATCGGCAAGCCCTAGGCTCTGTGGTTTAGACCACAGTGCCACCTGTGTCCCGTGTTGCTATGTTAGTCCCACCCCCCACAAATTAAGAGTTATCACATTGCTAAAATGCTAACAGACTGTTTGATGTATGAGGTGAAAAAAGGCTTTGTTGCTGCACAAAACCCTTTTTACAAGAACACCAGTGAATATTTCTATGCAACTTAAAGCCTTCATGTAAGTTCAAAATGCCAAGACAACTCAGTAGAGTTTTTTCTGTTGTTGTTTGCTCTTGGCTGCCCCTTCAGTAATCTTACCTGACAGTCACCCAGTTTCCAGTTTCAGTGTGCATTTGCTCATAATTGTATATAAATACAAACCTAAAGAGCAGGAGAGAGCTTTATTCTAGCATATATCTACCGGACATTCAACTGAGCCCTCTTCCTGCCTCCCGATTCCCAGGCTGCTTCTGATACCAAGGTGGTTTGAACAGCTACCCGCCTCCCAACTTGGCTGCTTCTGTAGATGTGGGTGACAGCAGCATGGACTCACAATAGCAAAGTGTGATGTCACAAGGCAGGCGTGCAGCTGGAGCAGGAAATGCGAGGGCCGGTCCAATGTCCTAGCATAAATATTACATGTTCCATACTGCAAGTGATGGTGGATTTTAGCAACTAGGTAAGAAACTGCCGCTGAGATTATTTAAAACTTGTGCCGTGGGGAGGGAGGAGCTCAGATGAGTAGAATATGGAATTGGTGATCAATGCTCAAAGTCTCATTTCCATCACTGGGACCTAAACACACACATAAAGCACTAATTTGAAAGTGTGTGCTGTATTTCTCAGGATTGCATCTGTAATCATATTCCAATTGAACCCCTAATTTCTGGAGAATTGTGTTGTTGTTGTTTAGCGTTTATATAGTGCTTAGTGCTGAAAACACTTCAGAAACATTTAGCATTTATGTAGTGTTGAGTGCTCAAAATGCTTTGCATAAGCATTATCCTTACAAAAGGCCTGTATGTTAGGACAGTATTATTATCTCGTTCTTGTTAGCTAGGAAGGTGGGTACTGAGGCTAAGAAAAATGGGCTTACCTAAAAGCTACCTAGGATGCGGGTGGCACTGTGGTCTAAACCACTGTGAGCCTCTTGGGCTTGCTGATCAGAAGGTCGGCTGTTCAAAACCCCGCGACAGGGTGAGCTCCCATTGCTCGGTCCCAGCTCCTGCCAACCTAGCAGTTCGAAAGCATGCCAAAAAAAAAGTGCAAGTAGATAAATAGGTACCTCTCCAGCGGGAAGGTAAACGGCGTTTCCGTGTGCTGCTCTGGTTTTAGTGTTCCGTTGCGCCAGAAGCAGCTTAGTCATGCTGGCCACATGACCTGGAAAAACTGCAGACAAACGCCGGCCCCCTCGGCCTGCAAAGCGAGATGAGCACCGCAACCCCAGAGTCGCCTGCGACTGGACTTAACTGTCAGAGGTCCTTTACCTTTTAAAAAGCCACCTAGTGCACTTTTGGCAAAGGTGGGGTTTTTTTCTGCATTCAAAAAAACCTTACCAAATTACCGGTACTGGAGCTGGGGGTAACTAAAAGCCCTATCCTTGTCTGTCTACTCAAGACTCAGCTCTTCTAATAGAGTAAGGAGTCTCCCTTCCCACTGACTGTTTTCCCACTCCATTTTGCGCCTCCACCCCTGCCCCATAGCATTTCTTCCCACATGATTTCAAATGCATGTTCAAATGCACCATGAAGTTACTCTCTCCATTGTCAAGCCGTGGAGCTCCCATCTACAACAGAAGGCTAGGAACTGCTAGTCAGCTTGACAATACTGAATGAGATGGGCTTGGTATAAGTAAGGAACCTTCCTATGAGAAGCCCATGATAGGATGTGAGGGCAAAATAGTCCTGTCCCATTGTTGTTCCCCAAATACTGGTACTGAGCAGCACAACCGGTCTCTGCATCTGGATGGAATGCATCTTGTCAAACTCTCCTGCCTTACAGGTCTGTTACGAGGCTTGCTATGAAATGATGCCTATCTAGTGCTTTGAGCATTCTAAAAGGGCTATATAAATGCTAAAGTGTGTGTGTGTGTTTTAATCTTTTAACTTGCTATCTGGCAACCCTAATGACTTCCCCCAAGCTGAGGACGTTTTTATCTTTGTCATAAGCTCGCTAAGGCTGAAGTAGTTTGTGTGGCTTTCTCAGCTTAGGGTGACCAAGCTGAAAATGTGAAGATCCAGCAGAGAGATAGCCTGGCAGATGGAGGCAAGTAATGTGGTGCCTCAGAGATACAATCTGTGCCCCCAAAGACCTTGCAAGCTGTGAAAAGGCTGCTGGCCTCAGTCTATGTGAAGGAAGAGGACCTTCCTTCCAGTCGCTCCTGGGATGAAAATGGTCATGCCAGAAGGATTTGCACTTGCTTGTGAGTGAGATGCAGAAAAGTTAAGACTCCCGAAAGCCAACTAGCTCAGTTGGGTCCATCAGCAAATAAAAATTCCTTCCTCTGTTTTCATCCCAGGAGTGACATGCGTGAAATAAATAACCACAGTATCAGAAAAGGACTTGCGTGCCTCTATTCACATGGTATCTGCAGTGGAACTGAGTTCTAAACTTTTCTCCTTCCCCCACATGGTGCCTTTGACCACAAAACCATGTGCTGTTTCAATTTGAAAAGGAGAAATAAAACTCCTGCCAGCTCTGTGTCAAAGCCGCATGTTTATTTGGTACCCCCGGTGAGGGGATTCAAGCTTGCACAGCTCTGAAGAGTTTCTCGCTGCCTGTTGCTGCCTGCAACTGCCTGCCTGCCTGATTGTGCTGGGAGGGCCGAGAGATTGAGATAAGCATTTGTGATTAGCATTAAGCAACACACCAGAGAAGGGAAGTCTGGCACGAAACCCACACAGCTGGCTCTCTCTGCCCATGACTCTTCTAAGGCAGCTGCCTCCGCTGGGACACTTGTAAGCCAGTTCAGCCTTTTTGTGTCTGCAAGTGTGGATGGTCTTTCTGCTTTCAGGGACCTTCTGCTGGCTTGGGAAGTGAAAGAACATGGTGGGTCTGCTTTGCTGATAGCCAGGGATGCAGGCAGAACAAATCTGGCTTGTAGAGACTTGAGCAGGAAGGAGGATATTGCTGGCTCCTGGCGGCCTGGATTGAGAGCACGATAAAGAAGAGAACTTTATGGGCAGAAGGAATTCCACGCTGTGCTTGGCACCTGTGACCTCCAGAGCCCTTTTCCTTTGAAAGTTTTACAGCGGCTTACTCTCCTTCCTCCTCTTCTTCCAACTCCCCCCACCCATTAAAACAAAACAAAGAGCCCTCTGGATGCATCGCAGTGACTAGAAATGCTGCTTCCTTCAACTGCACCTCCAACTCACTCCAGCTCTCGGAAGAACTGGGGAGGAGCCTGACTTCTTGCCTCCAGGACAGTCAAGCGGAGCAAGGGAGGTGGGGACACACTGTTTTGCCAGTGCTGATGCTTCAGCTGGGTACCTAAAGATCCAGCAGTGCATCCATTGCATCTCCCTCCAGACTGGATGCATTATGACACACCTGTGGAGCCCTTGCCTTTGGCCTGCCTGAAGAGCTATCCCCGAGACCAGCAGAAGCCTTGGCCAAAGACTGAGCTGTGACATGGCTTCCGAAAGACCCTCCAACCTGCCCAGCATTCCTGAAGACACCTCCAGTACCACGGACGATGACGAGGCCTTCCTCCCCAATGAGTCCAGTGACTCACAGGCCTTAGCCAAACAGGTGACCCTTAGCAGGGCACCCAGCTCTCCGGTCTTGTTTGCTGCCCATTCGCCCAGCTACCTCATGAAACTGAAGGTCAGCAGGAGCATGTACGACTTTGGTCGGAAAATGAAAACAGTGGGGTAAGAACTTGCTTTAACCCCCCAGAGCTGCTGGTGACAGGGTGGGGTGTGGGGTTAGGGACTGTGTTCCAACATCCACAGGAAGCAATTTAGGAGGCTACCTGAGGCCAGAACACACAAAAAGATCGACAGCAGCATCCTTGAGGCCTGATTAAAGAAGCCCACATTCTGAAAGGTTGGTTCTGGCCTTGGAATGATATATAGGAAAACTATTGCTCAGTTTTGCTGGGTTTGTATGTCTTTTATTAGGTAGTGTGAGAGGGTACTTTAGCTTTTGCGGAATTAGATTTTTTAAATGTTATACAGTGGTCTGGGGGGGCCAACAAAGATGTTTGGTAGGTAAACATGGAGGCTGTGAGAGAGGGTGCTGTTGCCTCTTCTTTTGGCTCATTGTGGTCTGAGTGACATGATCTAATTAGGTGTGTGTTGTGGGGAATAAAGCACTGGGTTTGTGTGTTATAGCTGTTTTGCTGTTTCAGGAGGGCTATAGTGAGATGCACTTGGGAGCTGCTCCAATGTAAGGTGCACTCCAGCCTCCTTTAGCAAGGCTACTCCTCTCATTCCTGGATTGCACACTCTCTTAGCAGTCCAGTTCTGCCTTTAGCCCTGCAGCAAAGAGTCAGAATGACAGCAGGAAACCACACAGAGCAAGCTGGAGTTAACTCTTTATTAGCCCCCCCAAAAGGATTTGCACAGGAGTGTCATTCCTAATGAGCGCAGCAACTCTGCTCCAGCAGGTCTTGCCCCCTTGAGGCAGTTGACGGAAGGTCCCCACTTCCCCATAACTGCCTGTCCCCTCCTCTTCAGGGTCCCCCCCCCCTGAACAATCTGAGACTGGGCCTGTGTCAAGTTAACTTCTCCTCCCCTTTCTTCATGCCTCTCCTGGTTTTGGGAGACCAGAGGGGAGGGGAGCTTGTCATAGCAAAAGGGAAACACCAGCCTGACTCATCTCTGCCTCTTACCATCCCTCCTCTCCTGCTTCAGCTTCAGCCTCTGAGTCTGCACCGTTCTCTGCCACAGACTCCCCACGCTCACTAAGCCTTGTTACTTCTTCAGCTTCTGACACTCCTTTCCCCTGTCTTCTCCCTCCAACCACTCAGCATTGTCCCACCCCCTTTTCCCAGGCTCTGTGCCTTCTTTCCCCGGGCGTTCCCCAGCTGGTTTCTCCCGCCCTTCCTCTGTGTCCAACCAGTCCATAACACCAAGAGAAAAATGCTTAAAATTGCTGCCTCTGGAAAAGGAAAGTGCCTAGATATTAGGGATGGGTGGCCAATGGAGTTTGGGTAGGGAAGAGACATGCAGAGGTGTCAGAGAAGCAGGAGCCTGTTCAGGCTTCTGAAACACCCTTCCCTGACCAGCCGGAGACATTTTTTTTTGTTCCAAGGGTTCCAGTAAACCCAGCCCTGTTTGAATTTCCAGGAATGAGATATGTTTTCTTTCCAGGAGATGAAAGCAGTAATTGGATTCTCAAAAATGCCACCTTACATACAGGATACCAGATACTGCATTTGTACAGTCATGTGGTAGACTTGTGGAATGTACTCTCAGTCCTGGAAGACTCCAAAATAGCAGGAAAATTGGGGTGGGCATTTACAGAGAAGGCTGTGCATGCTTACTCCAGTCCAGTCCCGTCCCAGGA